AACTACACCTTCCTGCCCTTCGGGGAGGGCCCCAAGATATGCATCGGTGGGTGCGCGTGCTATTCTTGGTTCATTGACTTGATTAGTGATTCCGGGCGCGTCAACTGCTAAGGTCAATAGTCCCGTGAGTGTACTTCACATGTTTGCTCCGAGAGTTGGCGGTGGTCCCCCCCCCCCCCCTGTATGGCGAGATTCAGCGCCAACCTACAGCGGGGATTTCCGCAACCAGGTATCTCCCGCCAACTAGACACCGCCCCAGCCGGGACAAGCTCTATGTTCCATGTGTGGTATCTCGTATTCTCCTACCATGTGTGGTGGTGTAGTGCATGTTAGTGTGTGTGTGTGTGTGTGTGTGCAAGGGGTGAGGATAGGACAAGGAAGAGAAAGGTGAGATCGCGCGCGGTCCGTGGCCCGTTTGTTATGGTACTAGTTCGGCATTGCCTGGTGTTGATCAGAGAAACCACGGAAAAGTATCGATCAGAACAGCCGACCGATAGAAGTCTCCTTCCGTGATTGAATTCGATCTAGCTATCTAGCTAGTCAGAAAAATACTGCCACCGTCGGGGCTCTAACCTAGGACCTCCCGGTCAGAGGCTTTGCAGTGACATCATTGAGCCACCTCTCCGAAGCGGATATTTTTGTGTTGTGGGTACTTGGTTCTCTGCTTGTTTTCTTTAACGGACGCACTAAAAAGGAAAGGACGGGAGTATGAGGCCACACATGTTAGTAAATTCTAGTTTGGTATTGATCTAAATCAGCTATGTCAAGGTCGCGGGCGCCGTAATTAGCTTTTTAACGTTCATAGGCACTGCGTCCAGAGCAACTGGTCCGAGATTTAAAAATAAGGCTTATGCAAACATCTCCGGATCGCCGTTACGTCACTGGGTACGTAGCCCATGATAGTCTTTTGAAGAAGTCGGTTGACAGTTATTTCCCCAAATGTAGCAGTGCTAAATTTCTCTACTGAGTCAAAGTAAAAATCCATTAATATAAAATACATCATTCAGATTCTACATCGTCAATCGAGATACATTTTTTTTAATTGAAATTTTTGATTTTATTTTGATTTAATTGAAATGATTTTATTTTAATTCCGTAATGTGTTTGCTTAAGGGTGCCGTATTTGCATTAACTTCCTTCCTTCAGGGTGGTTTCTTGTCTGTTGAAGGAGCTGGCCACCCCTAGACATTAATTGATAATTTATAGAAATTAATATAAACTATTTTATATTGACGCTGTATACAACAAATTACTACATGATTTTTTAAAAAAAATATCAGAAAACTAAAAAAAGAATTCGTTATTCAAATATAGTCCTTTCGCTTGTCAAACTTTTTTAGAAAAGGCAAGATTTAAAAATAAAATAAACAAGAAATAGTCATTAATAGCACGAAATGTAATCACACAAATTTCAATTGTCTAATGGAACAAATCCGGGAAACATATTTCCGTATTAAACCACTGTTCTCACCTCGCGTTGCTTCATCTTGCGATTGTACACCCCTTGTGGGTTTGCAGCAGAAATGAGAGCATCAGGGGAGTCAGGGGAATTTGCCCGAGCAGGAGCACGGCGGGAGCGCCGCTTTGCCAAAGGAAGCAAAAAGCTCGAGCGGCCGCGGCCTGACATGCGTGTCCCAATACCGGTTTTAAAAATATCAAATTGTGTGTCTCATTTGATCTGTGAGGTACATGCAATGCACGTGGCGCCTCGAGTGATACTTTGCCCTGTGGATGTTTTTATTTCATTATCCACGCTTATGTTCGTAAGGTTACAAAACCTGTTTTCTTCTCCTTGTTTCAATTTTGTCTCGTACAATTTTTGCTTTGCTTGAAAACAGTATTTCTTGGATGTTTGTTTTTAATAAATGTCTGAACTTAGAAATTCATCCGTTGGTCTGTAACCGACGTTCGTGAAGATACTGTAAACTTTTTAGTTAGCATCTAGTAGACTCGCAGCATTGCCAGTAAATTTTCATTTTTTCGTGTTTTCTGCCTGGGAGTATCACAGTAACGGGCTCATTATTATTTATCTTTTACTTGAAGCGTTTCCAGCAAAGTAAATATGAGATCTCAGTAGGACGGGAAATGCGGTACGATTAATTTTGCCTTGCATTTGGCCAGTGCTTCCTTATATACTGCAAGGACAACAGGTCAATTGTGAATTTCACGCCCTTCGAAAGTCTACTCACCGTAGCTGGGATTGAATCCGCACGAAGGGGGTTGAGAAACCAATAACTTCACCACTCACTCATCAAGATGCGCGAATTCCATGGATGCGACTGAGAGAACTTGGTACTGAAGACAAAAATGTCTTGCGGAATTTACGAAAAATTAGGTAGTTGTAATACGCTCAGATACAACCCCCTGTTTCACCCATTTAGAGGATGTAATTTGAAAAATCTATTACTAGTTGATGCGCATTCTATAATTGCAAAATATATTCCAAATTACATGTTTCAAGCTTCAGTAGTTTTGGAATTCTCGCTCACTATTGGTTTGTTTTGCCATAACATTCGTAATGTACTCCAATTGAAACGGTTGTCTTAAAGGGTACAATCTCTCGGAGACACCACTATAATTTAATAATATTCTGATAATGAGGTTCGAAGATGTAATCAATAAGAAAGTAGTGCCACATTTTAAGCGTAGGAAATAACTCTAGACTTTATATTTATTTATTTTATTTAATAGGTAATTATTACAGACAAAATTAGCTCACTTGATCCTATGTGGCTAGGCCGAAGGCCTTTAAGCCATTACAATACCTACATCCTTTCGCGTTCTAATCTTTCGAATTCTGGTATTCACCCCAAATGGTCTCTCCATCGCATCAAAGCCGCGGAAAAGAGACCATAAGGTACGGCTCAGGAAAAAACCCCTGAAGGGGGAAAAACCTGCCGTCAGAAGCCGAGTACATTCTAATCTATCCGACGTTTATTTTAGCTATATTATTTTCTGGCGCGGGCGTCCCGCCGTCTCCTTCCAGTGCTTGGCCTCCTCAGCACCTGAAATCAAACGGCGCCACAGAAGATCGTCCGCACCAACGCCTCTGCCCTTATATTTTCGATCCCCCCTTACCTTCCCCCCTAATGTGCTTATTACTATTAGACTTCGCTATCGCTTCTCGGCCTTTTGGCTAAGATCAAAGTGTAGACTTTATATAGCTGAACCACGTATAATATGAAGTATCCCGATTGCACAACTTTTCGTAAGCCTTTTACCCCCTCCCCCAAAAGGCATCGCCAGATTGCGTCTCGTTCGGATTCCTTCCTGAGTACGAGAAAGAGCTCGCTGGGCGCCAGTGCTTCCAAGATCATTCTTTGCACAAGCTCTTATTTTAACATTTATTATTTTGTCTTAATATTGTATTGAACTAGTCAATAGAAAGCTTGTTATTTTGTAAATGGACTGTATCGATTATTTTGGATTTATTGAGATTGATTTCGCTGTATACCGTGGGGTAATCCAAGGAGGTCTTCTTTAAAATCATGCAGAATTAAAATATTTATAAATTCGATAACATTCATAACCCCGATGATTTTAGTGTGTTAACTTATGATAGAGATTTTCCCTTAATTGGTACGAAAACCTCTTTGAATTATTCATGAATGGAAACAACTGAATTTTTTCCTTCTTTCCCCTCCCGAAACACTGGCCGAGATGTAATCTGGCTATTCCTTCTCAGGTACCCAAACCTAAAAGGGGATTAAGTGGGATGCTGGTGTGATGGAAAACTGACCACCGATGCAACCTAGCGATTCCCATTTAATCGACTTCTCTCTTTGAACTCTTGAGTCCCCCCTCTCCCTCATAGCTCCATCACGTCTTGGGTCGAGTGGTTCTTGGCTGCGTAGTGGCTACGCTTCTGCGGACTGCGAAGAATGTCATATCTTTCTCCTCGCGTAGCGGGAACCTGACTGTCTGACGCAATTGTGTGAACGAATGACAGAACACCTGGTTGGGACAAATCGTGACTCAGGCTTCCCACATGAGAGACCGAAGTTCAATTTGTAAACTACTCCTAGAACAAAAAAGGAGGTTTCTACATACGCAATTTCCTCGCCATTTCTTGTCTTGTGCACTTTATGAAATCTCTTTTCTCTGCAACTCATTCTTTCTCTTTTATGCACTTATGCATATTTACTAACTATATGTTCACTTAATATTCATAGCAACATATGTACCTATACATCATTCTTGTAGTTGTAAAGTAAGTATAAGCTATAACAGTTTTCTGCAAATGTCAAACAATGGGATTGTCTACTGAAAACTGCGCATCTGCCCGTATGTGGTCACTTGTATTTATATGTATTATACTGTTGATTCAAGATAATTAAAAATTATAAAAAACCTGAAATTTCAAATTACCAAGTTTCTTGCGTTAATTAATATAAAATAAAGAAATATGAATAAAAGAATTTTCTGCACATCGTTTAGCAAGTGGAAATTTAATTTACTAAAACGTTTACTAAAATTTCACTTCGGATGTCTGTTTGTATTGTACAAAAATGCGTCTATCGATGAATAATAAGGCATAGCGTCAGCAATGACTTCACTTGGAATTTTCTCTTTTTGATGTAGCGAGTCAGAATCAGTATATTATGAACACGTGCTAAATAACTGATATATAAAATAAAATGAATGTAAGTTATACATTTCATCGCTTGTTTAACATTCTACATTTGTATCTCTTTGGCTCTTCATATTTAATTTTTATACTCACGTTAAAAAAATTATTTTGTAGTAAAATGAAATGGTTTTGAGAAGTTTGTTTCATATCTATTTATACTGCAAAGCCATGACATCTTACTTCACTCAAAGAAGCTACTACGTAATTAATTGTATTATAACATACTATTTTTAACTATAATAATTTTAAAACTGCTGTTTAAAATGGTCGAATACGATGAGCCCTGATAGCACACCTTTTTTGGACACTTTATACAAATTATCTTTTACGTAAGTCTACTAATTTAAATAAAAATATTTCTATTTTCTAGCAAGCATGTATGTTAATTGAAGTAACAAGAAGGTCAATTATAAAACAAAGTCGATCGTGAGTGTGGAGTAGTGTTGGGTAAAATGTGCAAAAGGCCCGGAAGGTGTTGAAGCGGTGCCCGCTGGCCTGCAATGAGGGCAGACGCTCAACCGCAGTTGCTCTTGTGCGCAGGGCTGCGGTTCGCGATGCTGGAGGCGAAGCTGGCGCTGGCCGCCCTGCTGTCGCGCTTCGAGCTGTCGCCCAGCGCGCGCACGCCGCACCCCATCCCCCTGGACACGCGCGGCTGCATCACGGGCAGCGAGTGTGGCGTCTGGGTGCGCCTGGTGCCCAGGACAGGCACCACCGCCACCACCGCCACCACTGCCGCCACCACCGCCACCGCCGCCACCACCGGCGCCACCGCCACCACCGCCACCACCGGCTCTGACAGCGAAACTACCAAACTCTAACCTCAGAGCCGTACGAACCTTTCCAAGCATTCTGCAATCCTTGCACTACAAGCTTCTAATTTAATCTCAATTTCCCTAGGTAGCTTAATGACTTGTCAAACTTTATCTCACTGAATTTAAAGTATTTTTTTTTTGGGGGCCATAGTTTAGGGGAAAGGTCCCTCGCTTTGCTCTCACTATTCACTGCAGTATCAAAAGTAACGACACGAAGATAATGGAATATACCACTACAAGAAATTCAGGGACTCGCTCTCGTCGAGCGGTCTCGTCTGGGGGTTCAGTGCAATCAGTCAAATTTATTTAGGCTATTGTAAGAGAAAAATAAATGTTCGGTAAATATTACTTAACATTAATTTCATATGCTTTATTCTGCTTTATTTTATATTTTACCAGTATCAGTATTCTTCTTTGGCGTTCAACTTAGCGTTTGATTTGCGTCGTGCACCAAGAGAAACAACTCTTTCATGTTGCTCTATTTGGCTACTTCATGCATTTGTAGCTTCCGCAGGCATTGTCATTCATTATCTGTAAAACATCCACCTGCTTCTTTGTAATTAATTTTACAGTACTTATGATATGAATATGGAGTTCGATTAATTCCCTCCTATTTTCTTCTATTCTATCGCCCTCTTTTGTAACTCTACCGTACCATTTAACATTAAAAAAGTGAATTTCTTCTTGCACCGTCTTATAAACGATTCAGTATTATGTATTTACACTAAAAATGTAAATAACGTGCGGCTACGGGTCCGGGCGGAAAAATACTAGTTATAAGATTATGCGGGCAAATCCTCTCTGAATGCTTTACTCTAAGGGAAATGTGTGCATGCATTTCGTATTTTAGGGTGACATTAATATGCCTTTCTCCAACTACCGGTGTTCCCAGGCTTGAGCCCGCCTTTTTATTCATATTATCCGCGCCTGAGGGCAAGGAAGACACGTGACGAGCAAGACGCATTCCCACCACCGTACATTTGGCCTGACTGAGCTCTTCTTCCGTCACACAGCTATAGCAACTGAGAGGATTTGCATTGCAACTGAGAGATTAGCTATAACAAGCTTCATTTTTGCCTCTACCGGGAATCGAACCAGGAACCGTCTCACTGAAAGCTAGCGTGATGTCCATTAGTCACCCGACAGGCGTCATAAAGAAACAAAATTTGGTCAATAGTTGTTAATACACTCTCACAAAATTTTCAAAAGTTTTAATTGTCAGAATAGATAAAAAATATTTAAAGGTACTTCATTGAGGCACGAAAGTAAGCGCACAAAAATTAATCTGTGGAGATCAATATTATTCAACAAAAACATTTAACCCTTTAAATTGAACAAATTATGTTCTCATTTGTAAATGGATTTAAAACAATAATTAATATTTCCCAACTTTGGAAATATTTTGTGCTCTCTAAATCACTAAATTATATTTTTATGTGATGCAACGAACATTTTACCTTATTATTACTGTCTATTTTGACAAGTAATGAAGGATATCGGAAATTACACTAGTTCTAGAAACCGACATGATTTAATTTGTAAAATTCACCTCAATAATAACTAAACTGGTTAAAGAACTTCAATGTTTTAGAGAATTCTACATAAACAAGGCAAGTTTAAAATAATATTTACTTTTTATCTACATTTTTATTCAGTCCTTGTAATTTTAGGCAAATGCCACGGCTGTGCTGTTACTACTCTCAAGACTGACTTAATTATAGCTTAACATAAGATTTATTTAATTTGTTCAACTTTTCAGACCTTGAGTCACACGACTTCATTTAATGGTTTACGGGTATTTTTGGGTCGTAATGGTAATCAACTCTTTGAATTTCTTCATCTATTTCTGGGTATTAAATAAAACTTATTTTGCGTATGAGTAATGTACATGTATATGTCAATAAAAACGAAGTTTGGAAATCACCAAAGAAAAACATTTATTTCAAACATTTCCTTCATGTTCATCATACTATTCATATTGCACTTCTAATCTTTGAGATCAGTATGTGATCCAAAGGAAGTTACGCACCCACCTGCTTTTTACAATCTCGCCTTACGAAATGCTTACGTAGAGTAGTTTGCGGCGGTAGATATCGGCGATTTTTCTACAGAAACATTCGTATTGTGGAGCTCTAGTACCTAAATGTGGATAAATCTTGTTCCTGTGTGTAATATATTACTTCCTCTAACACGTTGCGTAGTCATAGTTCACGTCTGGAAACGCCATGTTTGTCCGTCTGCGGTCTACACTAGAGTCGAAACCTTTTAGGCGACTTTCTCCAAAACTGATATTTCCCCATCAATGAAAAACAAACTGTAGAAAAAATTAAATAACAACTGTGTTTACATACTTTAAATAGTATATTTGAAAATCCGTGAAGAGTCCTCTATACTTTCGGTCCGGTTTGTACATAAGTCGGTACAGGCTTTAAAGCGAGTAAATACATAACACCGAATTGAGTTGCAAGAACACGACGAGCATCTTCCCTTAGTTTCGTTTCGACCACATTGATCGATCGGTCTTTCTGCCGCTGACGTGATGGTGAAATACAAGCGTGAACTGAAGACTTTATGCCATAATAACCCGTACAAATTGACACACAAAAAAACCAGTAGCCAGGGGTTTTTCAGACAATATAGCCAAGAATTTCTAAAATAAAAATGTAAGTATTAGTCCCTCTAGGCATCCAAGTTTGCTATGATGAGTGTACTCAAATGCCTTCGATGGGTCGTGAGTAGGGATCCGGTATGAGTAAGATTGTTTGTGTGTGTTTTTGTAAATGTGTACCCTAATTTTAAAAGCATGAGCAAGTTACAAGGCCTTTCCTGGTGAGTAATAACGCACTCCCTAAAAAGGACAATTGTGGGTGTGGTTTGCGCGTGGTCCAAAGAGATTGAAACAAAACAAAAGTATTACTTCCAGCCTTTCACACATTACAAAACGCAATAATGATGCAACGCGAAACGCGATTAACTGTTGCGAAAGAACGTCAAACGTACTAGTCCGAACGGGTGACTCGCCAGTCGCCGGAAAAATGAGATAAGCTTATTTAACTCGGCGTCCGCGGCGATACCGCGTTGCAACGCCCGGGCGTCGGAAGCGGCAGTTGGCGCTTGCCGAGGCTCTGTGCGCGTTCCGGTGCTAGAGACCTTGGCAGAGGTGTTATTACGCCCTTACGTCACCGCGCCACGCAGGTGAGCGAGGGAGAGCCCCTCTGGCGCAAGCACAGCGTCGCCTGCTCAACGACCAGGCGGTCGCCGCCTGTTCAGCGACGACTTGAGGCTCGGCGTTTGAAGTCACTTGCACATTTACGATCGACGGCATCGTTGGTGCTTTGTTAGAACGGTATGGGCATGTTTGTTTGTCTCATTTTTATTCATTTTAGCTCTGTAAACCATAATTTGTGTCGTTGGCATTGTCAACATAATTCAATGTTTTGATTTCAAGTGATTTCATTTTTTTTTTAAATTTTCTTTTGTGTGTTTTAGTTCACGGCTAATATCATTTATGTAGTTAGAATTATGTTTATTCATTTACTTCTCGTGAGTAGCAATCTCATTTGCAACCAAAAGTGTGTTTCATTTATACATTTTATTTACATTTTCTCACTTTTGTGTACTGAATGGAAATCGAGAGCAATATATTATTCACTTCTGAACATTAGCTACTATTGTTGACTCGGGTTCAGCTCATGAGCTAAATATATCTTATTTCTTTTTAAGTTACTTTTTTAGTGTAGATTCAATTATTTGTTTGTAAGTTTTAAGTTTTATGTTTTGATGAGATATTTACGCGTTTTCTCTCAAGACTCTTTGAGCACTATTCGATTTATATTATTTATATTTTGCTTTGATTTACATCATTGTTCATAGTCTGCATTTGATGTATTATATCTCAATATAGAAATAATTTTACCGCATATTTGTTTTATGTAGTTAAGAACTGATATTGAAATTTAAGTAAATACTCGCAATCCCAATGGAAGAGTAGATTAGAGGGCAATTTCTTTTGTTTCTATGTAGAGATTCGTTGGTCATGGCTGTAAGCCTAAATATTTCAATTTGATAATTATGTTAATATTAAATTAATAACAAAAAAGGGAAGTAATCTATTAACCATTCTTACTATTTTAATATAATAAGATTCGAAAGAGAAATTACTTTCTCGCTCTTTTCGAGATCATTGACAGTTCAACTCTTCCTGCGCTCACCTTTCATTAAGATCCCGTTAATGCAACAAGATGCACATTTTGCCCTTATCACGCTGTTTAATATTATTTTTGTACTTTTTAATAGTCAAGATAATTGCTAAAGATTAGTCATAAATATACATCGTAATCTGACTTATTTAAGATTCAAGTTTCAAGTCTATTGACTTATTCAAGATTCAAGTCTATTTATTGCTTTTAATACTCGTAATGTTTTCATTGTGCGAAATATTTATTTTTACGCAGTGAGCCTTCATTAATTACACATTTTTACTGCCAATGTTTGACTTCAAAATAATACGCGCTTCCCCCCTCCCCACGTGATCTCGTTAGTGAAGAAGCATTTATTTCGTAATG